GGTTGCAGTGTCTACTGGGGGAGTGGAGAGCCCAGGGGATCTCTACTCTGACCCTTTCCCATGTGTGGACACTTCCCTCCGTACCTTTCAATTTTGCCAAGTGGATCACCCCACTTTTCTCTCCACTTTGTGTGTCTCCAGTCATCTCTCTAATGACTCACAATACTCTCTCTGAGATGGTTCATCCATAATGAACGTTTACCTGTAACTTTCAGTCCTCTCCTTGAGAGCAGTGAGTGCAGACTGCTTCTGGTCCACCATCTTTGGCCCAGTGACAAGAGTTTTGTTCTCACAATATGGAATTGAGTAGTAGAGGCTGAACAACTTGTTTATTGAATTGATTTAACTAAATGTTATACATATACAAATAAGATTAAATGTATGTTTTTTCTGACAAATATTCATTTGGTGGTAATTTTGTTTTTAAGTCATAATTTAAGAGGTAATATATTTATTTAAAGGGCATTGAGTTTGCTATTTCCTAGCTATGATATCTGGGGCATGTCAACATTTTACCTTCATTTGTAAACAAAGATAATAAATACTTATGTTAATTTGATTAGAAGGTGGAAAGAATTATATAAAGTGTTAGTACATAAACTCAAATGTCTGCTCCGGTGACAATGATAATGATGATGATTTCTTTCTGTGCTCTCCTCTTACCCCTCTTGTATAAAAGGTGCAAGGACTATGTGCATATTTCATTTTCTCCTCAACTATACCTCGGTGGATGAGGGATGAAAAATGTTTTAAAAAACATGTAGACAGACACTGATACAGATGTCTAATTTTGTCCCTGTAATCTCTGAATATCTTTTCATTTTTTTCTCATCAGTTTCCTTTCAGTTTCCACAATGGCTATTCAACTTTCATTACTTTGATTAAGACTCTTCCTTTACCTTCTCTGTCATACTCAGCAGATACCAAGTGTCTTGTCCTTATAAGGAGATTATATGTAATATCGCCAACAATTTATTAGTAAATGTTTGTGCAAACAACTTGGACAGGTATTTTACATATACCATGACATCAAAAATTTTGACCTAAACTACCGTAGTCGTCTACTAAAGATTTGAGAGTCTCTCAGATACGCTGCCTAAAAATTATGATGAAGTCTCATTGCTGGCTTTTAATTATCATTCTCAGGCTAGAGATGAGGAAATTGAGGCTAAGGATGAAGTTTAGTGCTTTGCCCAAGTTTGCAAGTCAGAGCCCTGAAATTTAAATCCTAATTTCTGTTAACACTATTCCATTCTGATTCTCCTAGAGCATCAAATAAGAAGCACTCAACTCTGGCTTCTCCACGTCCTAAATTATTTTTATTACTTAGCTTTAGTTTCTGAAAAATGCCATCTCTTTTCCTGTCAATATTTTCCATTGGCCCTGACCTTTGTTCTTCACTCCAGTTCCCTTTCTTTCCACAGGACTTGTCTAATGAATTATCTCCTTACATTTTTTAAAAGAATCACTCCATCCATTGGCTCCTTTAATTAATACATAGCCTAGCCTTACAAGTGTTCAAGACTGATTGATCTGAATTTCATTATGTGTGGGGAAAAAGTCTTCAAAAGTAATTTAAATTATTTTTATAAGAATACTTCTTGATCCTTAATCAGGTCAGCCCTTGAAATTCTGATTTTTGCTCTCATCATCTACTAACTCTATTCTAGCTACAGTGCTCATTGAACAGCTAATGTACCCTTGTTACTACTTATCTCATTTGACCCGTCTCAGAATTGACATTGTTGACTTCACTCTCTCATTTTTAGAATTCTCACATCACTTGATTTAAGTGGCACTCTTTCTCTCTTTCTTCATTTTTCCTCCTCTTCTTCTCTTAGGCTGTTCCTTTTCTTTTTTTGGTGGTTTTCTTCTCTATATCACTTAAATTCCTATGTTCTGCATGGTTCTCTCTTTACCCTCCCTTCCTATTTTCCCTTAATGTTTTAAAACACTAAAGTAAATATTAATACATATTGTACAAATGTACGCTGCCTCTCTCTTTTCTTTCTCTCTCTCTGCCCCTCTTCCCTTCTTCCTCCTCCCTTTCCCTCCCTTTCTCTCCCTTCCCCACACACATGCACACATCTATAGTGACTAATATAATGCAAACTCATTTCAAAGTAGTACTGATTATAGTAACATTTTATCCCTATCAATTTCCTTAGTTATTGGATTAAATATTGGCAATAAAACTACTATTATCTGTGATTCTGATCAATTTTGAATTTTAATATCTACATTCCTGTTCAAAATAGTAGAAACCATTCATTTAGGACATAAAGTTATTTAGTGCATGATTTCTAGCTGCATTTCTAGTAATATTCCTGCCCCATTCTTTATACACTTCGGTGCCCTGTCTCCACATATTGTTTTTCTTCAACCAGAATTTCTTTTGATTGTGTAACTCCTTATCTCCTAGAATTTCTAGTATACTATTTAGGACTTTTATGGACAAGTAGCAACATTAAATTAACTAAAGCAAAAACAAAAATGGGGAAGGGATATTTGTCATAAGGGTACAGGGATGTATCATGGAAGCCAAGGGCAAAAATAAAGTTTTGACTCAGAAAGGGACTAAAACCTGTGTTTTGGTTACTTGTAATAGCCATTTGTCATTATCTCTAATGGTTTTGTGAATTGAGAAAACTCAGCTGAATGATTCTCTCTCTTAGGGTCTCTCATGTGATTTTATAGTTAGTTGTTAGCTAGTACTGTAGTGATCTGAAAGCTCAATGTGACTGGATGTCCAAGATGGCTCACTCACATGGCTAGCAGTTGTCAGCTGAATGCCCACCTGTAAATGTTTACTGAAGCCCTTATCCATGACCTCTCCATGTCACTTAGGTTTCTCAGCACATGATATGTTGAATGGGTTCCAATAGGAGAGCACCCTAAGTGTCAGTTCTCCAAAATGACAGAAGTGGAAGCTCCTAGGCCAGTTAAGGACTTTTGCCATAACTGACAGAGCATTACTTGTGCTGTATTTTATTGGTTAAGGCAGTCAAAGGGCCAATTCAGATTTAAAGAGGCAAATAAATAAACTCCACCTTTTGATGAGAGAGTGGTAAGAGGATCATGTGGTGTGGTAGCCATTGTTGCAACCATTGTTGGTAAATACTATCAACTTCAGCCTATGATTAGAAGCCATTGGTAATTTTGCTACTACGTCTCTTTCTATACACCTACTTCTTTCTTCTTTCAATGCTCATGGACTTTTGCTGTTCCTCAATCTACTCTGAAAACTAGAGACTTCATAAGCACAATTCCTTAACATGTATGACATAATTCTAAGCACTCACAGAGTTTCACCAGACTCTCTTCTGTCAGTTCTAAATTTCTGAGAGAGAATCTGATGGATTTATCTTGGCATAATCATTGTCCATGCTCTAATCACCCATGACTTGAGGTGGCCAGGACTGTGTGGCACAGACATAGCTTTTATTGGCCCATCTTTTTGAGAGGGTGAATATTTCCCAGCTGTAAGATCCTGGCCGAAAATCCCTGAAAGCATTTCATGCTCTCAGCAGTGCTTACAAATTATTCAGGATTCTACTTTAACAACACCTCCTCTGTGACATCTATTAACTCCTCTATACAAGTGTCACTCTACCCTACATATTCCCATCAAATTTTATACATTCTGTTGTATTTCTTACTCTAGTTTTATATGCATAGGTGGATCCTTAAGCCCCAGATTCTATGTTTCCTGAAAAAGAGCACATACCAGTATTTTGCGTGCAAGGTAGTTATTCAGCCAATGAAGATATTGTACATAGTAAATTAAAAATGATATTAATTTACATGAGTCTCATCTCTTATTTATTTTAAAGCATAATTTTAACTACTTGAATAATTCATAATTAATTTGCTTTTATAATAATTAGTATCAATATGCTAAGAAATAATATTCAGGTATGTATGGAAATTTATAACGTTGTATCCTAAGGAATTCCTGAACCATTTAGCCCATTTTCTTGGGATAATTCCCATTACTCAGTTTAGGGCTATAGTTCTCTTTGGTAACTGCTAAGCAAAACTGATATTATTGTCTAATGATACATACCAGAATTGACTCCAATTAGTGAAAATAAGTTTAAACTAATATACATTATACAAATTGTTTTGCATGATAATTTTATTGGTCATTGTGGTATAAGTTAATCAGTTTCTTCTTCATGATAATTTGACAATAACTGAATTTTAAATTAGAATAATTTTAAATTAGAATAATTTGACTACTAGATGATTTTTGCTACATCTCACAGAAAGAGATGAGTGAATTTATTGTTTTGGTATCAGTATGCTGCAGGATTTGACCCATGCCTGTAACTGGCTCAGAAATTCATAAGTCAAATACAGACATACTTTTTAAATAGAACTCGATAAAAATATCTTTATTGAATATAGAAAATATAGACATTTTTGTAGTTATTTAAAATTCAAAAATCAATATCTGTAGGAAGCCATTAAGTATCTGTCAGACAAAAAGCAGTACCAGTTGAAGCATTTAATTTCCCTTTTCTGGATACAGTTTCCCTCAAGTTTAACTGAAACATGGCACAGAATGACTGAGTAAAGATTGCTATTAAGGAATATCATTCACATGAAACTTTCTCATTATATCTTATCCTTGTCACAGTTAGCTTATGTATAAAGGTTGCATTCTTGTCTTTGGTCAGATTTGAATATAATTTCAAAGATAAAACAGTATCAATTCTATTTATTATTAGATGATTGTAGTTTTCTCCTATTGAAAATTATATCTGAAATAACTGTTATTATTAACTCCAAATGATTATTTCTTTTTCTTAATAGCCCCAATAGGGGAGAAACAAGGCATTTCAATTTGTGATAAGTAAAAATATTTATTGTCATTTTAAAGGAGGCTACATTTTAGTATTTATTTAGGAAGAGTTCTGAATTCCATCTTCTTGGAAAGTGAGTTCTTTGCAATAACATGCAGAACATGCTGACTAATAATACCATTGTCTCACCAGAAAATCCAATCGGATTTGACAAGTCATGAGATCAGTTTAGAAGAAATGAAGAAACACAACCAGGGGAAGGAGGCTGCCCAAAGGGTCCTATCCCAAATTGATGTTGCACAGGTACATTTTGTTACATAAACTAAAGAACTTGTTTTAGTTGGATGTTAAAATATAGTCTAGTATATATAAGGCAACTTGATTATTAGTAAAATTGGGATCGAGGGCATTATTTTAAAACTACGATTTGATGTCTAAACAATATGGGGTTTTTTTGCCTTCTACATTTTAAAGATAAAACAGCTTAATAAAGCACCTTTTATTTAGTATCACATTAAGAAAAATTACTGAATTGTTCTCCCAAATGTGTGTTTCCTTTGCATTGAATAAATGGAAAAAGGGAGACGGCTTTATTTTTAAAAAAATGTTTATTTCTTTATATCTTTAGTAATAAAAGAAAATATATTAGCAAACATATGACTGGTTATTGTTTGGAAGACAAAATTAAAATTAAATTTCTGCATCCTTACATTGTCCTTACAGAAAAAATTGCAAGATGTCTCCATGAAGTTTCGATTATTCCAGAAACCGGCTAATTTTGAGCAGCGACTACAAGAAAGTAAGATGATTTTAGACGAAGTGAAGATGCACTTGCCTGCGTTGGAAACCAAAAGTGTTGAACAGGAAGTAGTACAGTCACAATTAAATCATTGTGTGGTATGTATTTCTGGTGGCAAGTATGCAACTACTTCTTGACTTTCCTTATTAAGAAGTATTTGATGATCCTCTTTTATGGTAAAAATTGTTTTCAGACAACTGTAATAATTATATTGTATAATTTTAGAATTAAGAACAAAAATTGATGCAAGTGTATTGAGAGACAAGAACTTTTACTGATATAGTAGCCATGTAATACCTAGTCTTTTTTGAATCTGTGATTCTGCTAGGGACTTTGTAGAATATAAAAGGGTGTCTCCTTTGTTTAATTCTTGTGGTACTTTGAATATATTTTTAAGTGGAAATCCACAAAGGAAATATATTAATCTGAAAACAGCAACAACAGCAGTAGCTACAACAATAATATATATTCCAGAAATAATGAGTGCCAAATAAGCTGATTTACAGAAGTCATCTCTAATTCTCAAGGCTACAGATTACCTGAGAGAATTTAAAGACAAACATCTGGTAAAGGGCAAAGCAGGGTCCAATCCGGGTACTCTTATTCCAAACTCTAACATCTCTCCATTAAATATCAATGTTGGATATACACTGAAATGCCACCAGACAACACAGCCTGTAGCAGAAGTTATCATTAGACTTGGACTATCTAGTAGTGTCCTATGTTGTAATTATTGGAAATTTACCACATCAGTGATTCCTCTGACAGCATAAAGTTGAGGTATGAGGGTATATACTAGAGTAATATAGGTATTATTGTAACTCTACATGAGCTATGGATCATCAAGGTAGAAATTCACATGAAATGAAAACACTAAATGTTATTAATATTAAAGGGAAAGGAAGCCTATTTAGTACTTTGTGTTTTAAGTATTGTTTCTGTATCTACTCCATAATATAAATGAAAAGTAAACCCCTTTAGGTAAATTTTAGTCATATCATTAGGAATGGGAAAATATCTCTTTTTAACAAACATTTTAAAATAAGTGTACATATTTATTTTTGAAAAATTATGCAGTGTTTTATATCCAATAACATTTATTCATATTTTAGGCTCAATATTAGTGCTATAATTACCTTAAATATTCTCACCCCCAAAAAATAAATTTTGAATATAATGATATGCAATGATTAACTAATATTAGCTGAGTAATGGTGGGAATACATGGAGATATATCTTAAACTTTGCAAAAGAATTGAAAGAAAAATGACCCAAGTATACTATCTTCCTGACTCATATTTACAAAGTGAGATCTGTTCAGCCTCTTCTCAGAACCAGTCTCTAATGTTAACTCATAAAACTTATCTACCAGTAAATATGAGCTGAAAACAACCGTACCTGTGCCCACATTCTGTTCCTGTACCCTGTACCCGTACAAAGGAAACAGCTCAAGGTACTTGCTCAATTTGTTTCTTGTTCTGGTTTAAATGTCAGGACCAAGTCAAGTAGTTCTTTCATAAGACAACTTTTAGACTTTTCATTACTTAAGTTGCTTTGTGGCTTATACCATAACCATGGCCTTCTCTTCAAGACAATTTTGTCTATTAAAAGTCTTACTGGCACAAACATAAAGAATATTTCTCCTCCTTGTTTATAAATATTTTCTTTACCTATCAAATGAAATGATGTTAATAGCTAACAGTACCTTGAATGAGCTTTCTTCATAAAAATAAACTTTTTTCAAAGTTTAAAAAGTAAATCATTTGGAATAATCTTTGATTTCAAAATTCACATAGTTGATTCCCAAACATAACAATTAATGATTTCAATGTTTCCAAACACACCGACGTTTTTACATCTTCTGTGACAAAAGTAAAATGAAGTAAAAAAAGAATTCCTCTACAAAACTCAGAAAAAACTGACAATTATTAATAAATGAATATTAACATCGACCATCAAAAGAAGGGATTAAGATGAAAATAGATTATCCATGTAACCCTGATTAATCAGATAATTGCCCAGCCTTTACAAAATGTTTTGTTTTAGACATTTATTTTAAACCGAAAAGAGAAAAAAACCCTCAATTTTTGTTCTAGTTCCAAAAAACAATTACCTACTAGCAAACTTATTTCTACGTAATAGTAAAATAAGTATTTATCATTCAGACTTACCACTGAACAAATAAAAGCAGCAATGTATAATGTAAACTATTATATACATTTATACATATATACTTATATATATGTACATACATACTTATATATATGTACATACATAAAAACATATATTTCTAGAAAAATAACTACAGAGCAAAGTTTCGACACCAAGTGAAGTTGGTGGTATACTGATGAGCATAGCTATCTTCCAAAGTTATGACACTTGTCTCACAAGGCTTTGTTATAGCAACCTACTCCTGTGAAACAACATGTGAGTGCTTTATAGATGTGATATTCATGTGAGTTTTAAATAATATTTTTATATCTGTTTATATATTTCAACAGCACCATTAAGAAATTTGCATAATCTAAGTAACACATTTAAAACTACCGCCCTTCTTTATATATGATATAATATATATTAAAATTATGATCTGAAAATTTTGATGTTTTACCCCACTAAAACATAAGCACCATGAGAACAACAGTGAACGTGTGTATCTTGGCCACCACTGATTCCCCAGTGACTCAAATCCTATCTGGTACGTTGTAGGCACTCAATAAATACCCAGTGAATGAGTGAATTAATTTATTTAAATTCATGGCTCAAATGATATAAGTTTAAAATTTAAAATAGAAATCATGTAACATTTAGAAATGACCATTATGAAATTGGATTGAAATATATATGTGTGTATATATACATACACACACACATATACATAATGCATTCTTAAGAATAACTGCAAATTATGCATGTATGTATTTGTGTTTATAATTGTAGATAAAAACATTAAATCAATAGAACATGCAAAAGCTACATATCTACCACAGCTGCAAAATACTATTCTATTAAACCCTTAGACATTGAATACCAATTAAGGGACTACCTACCTTATTTCTTTTTGTTAATGATACTGTGAGTTAATTTAACACTGTTGCTTATTATGTTTTGTTTTATGTTTTCACTTAGAACTTGTATAAAAGTCTGAGTGAAGTGAAGTCTGAAGTGGAAATGGTGATAAAAACTGGACGTCAGATTGTACAGAAAAAACAGACGGAAAATCCCAAAGAGCTTGATGAAAGAGTAACAGCTTTGAAATTGCATTATAATGAGCTGGGAGCGAAGGTGCGTGCGTGCTAAGACCACAAACACTACTTTCCACTTTACTTATAATTTGTAAATCAAGAAAGCATGAGGCAGTAAATTATGTAAATTATGTACAATTAGAATCTCCAAATTTTTTTCTCTTCTCATATATGTACACACACAGATATATTTCCATGTGAATTCTTATTAAGAAACAGTAATTAATCATTGAAGTTCTGCTATTCAGTGCAGATTGAAATTATTTCTCCATATGGCCAAGCCTTTCATGATCTACCACACTTGGCTAATAAGATAGCATGAATAACCAATTACATCCTATGGCTCTGTAATTATTTTTATATTATTTCCCTGATCAAAGTCTTATGACCAACTCCATCTCACTGTTAATTAAAGATGCTTACTTACATTGATAATGGAGAGGCGGAGATGTCTCTATCTCCTCTTTCCAAAACTGTGGGATGTCTAGGATAATCATCTCACTTCCCTCAATACAAATAGTCTATATAGTTTAGAGCTTTGATGATTTAAAATTTTGCTAGTAAGTTGACACTTCACTCTGTTGATTGCGTCCTTTACTGAGCAGAAGCATTTTGGTTTTATGCAATCCCATTTGTCTATTTTTTTTTCTTGTTGATGCCTGTGCTTTTAGAGTCATATACAAAAAATCTTTGCCAAGAACAATGTCAGGAGGCTTTTTCTCTATATTTCCTTCTAGTCATTTTATAGTTTCAGGTCTTACATTTAAGGCTTTAATACATTTTGAGTTGATATTTGGATATGGTGTGAGATAGGGATCAATTTCATCTTTCTGCATGTGGATATCCAGTTTGACAGTACCATTTATTGAAGAGACAGTCCTTTCCCTGTTGTGTGTTCTTGGTGCCTTTGTCAAATATCATTTGATCATAAATATGAGGTTTTATTTCTGGACTCTTTATTCTGTTCCATTGGTCTATATGTCTGTTTTTATGCTAATACTATGTTCTTTCAATTACTTTAGCTTTGTGGTATATTTTGGAATCAGGTAATTTGGTGACTCCAGCTTTGTTCTTTCCTTAACTTTTTAAAAGTATTATGGGTACATATTAATCATATATATTTATGGGAAACCTGTGATGTCTTGATACAGACATACAATGTATAATGATCAAATCAGGGTAATTGGGGTATCCATAGCCTCAAGCATTTATCATTTCTCTGTGGTAAGAACATTCTACTTCCACTCTTTTAGTTATTTGAAAATATACAATAAATTGTTATTAACTATTGTCACACTATTGTGCTACTGAATACTAGACCTTATTCACTTTAACCATATTTTTGTACACATTAAGCATCCCCAATTTATCCCCTCCTCTCTGCTTCTGGTAACCATCATTCTACTCTCTGTCTCTATGAGTTCTTTTTTTAAAAATTTTTAGCTCTCACATATAAGTGAGAACATACAAAGTTTATTTTTCTGTGTCTGGATGATTTCACTTAACATAATGTCCTCCATTTACATCCCTGTTGTTGCAAATGATAGGATTTCATCCGTTTTATGGCAGAATAATATTCTCTTGTATATACGTACCACATTTTATTTATCCATTCATCTGTTGATGGACACTTAAGTTGATTCCATATCTTGGCTATCGTAAATAGTGCTGCAATAAAAATGAGAGTGCAGGTATCTCTTCCATATACTGATTTCCTTTATATATCAAGCAATGGGATTGCTGGGTCATATGGTAGTTCTATTTTTAGTATTTTGAGGAACCTCTATACTGTTCTCCATAGTGGTCAGACTAATTCACACTCCCCCAACACTGTACATGGGTTCCCCTTTCTCCGCACACTTGCCAACATTCATTATAGCCTGTCTTTTGGATAAAAATCATTTTAATTGGGATGAGATGATATCTCACTGTAGTTCTGATTTGCATTTCTCTGATGATTGATGATGTTGAACATTTTTTCATATACCTGTTGGCCATTTATATGTCTTCTTTTGAGAACTGTCTATTCAGATTTTCCCCATTTTTAAAATTAGATTTATTTTTTTCCTACTGAGTTGATTGAGCTCTTTATATATTTTGATTATTAATCCCTTGTCAGATGGGTAGTTTGTAAATATTTTTCCCATTCTGTGAGTGTCTCTTCACTTTGTTGATTGTTTCCTTTTTGTGCAGAAGGCTTTTAGCTTGTCCAATTTTGCTTTGGTTGCCTGCGCTTTTGGGATATTACTCAAGAAAACTTTACCAAGACCAATTTTCCTGGAGCATTTCCCAAATGTTTTCTTCTAGTAGTTTCAGGTCTTAGATGTAAGTCTTTAAAGATGTGTACTTGATTTGATTTGATTTTGTATATGGTGAAGGATAGGAGTCTCATTTCATTTTTATGCATATTGATATCCAGATTTCCCAGCACCATTTATGGAAGAGACTGTCCTTTCTCCAATGTATGTTCTTGGCACCTTTGTCAAAAATGAGTTCACTGTAAATGTGTAGATTTATTTCTGCATTCTCTATTCTGTTCCATTAGTCTATGTGTCTGTTTTTATGCCAGTTTTGGTCAAGATAGCT